GAGGGTAAATGCCCCGCCATGCGGACTGGTCGGTGCCCGACCCGTGGGCTAGCACCAGGGTTTTCTCGCCGTTGCCCACCACTCGAACGTTGAGGGCTTCCAATACATTTGAGTGACCCATCCCGCCGGTTTCTGTTTATATAATTTGGGGGCAATTATATAGCACGGTGCAGTAAGCTAGTAAATGCAAAAAAAGGCGTTTGCTCCTGAGAATGAAATGTGATGAGACTTATACTCCGTATATAAGAAGCATGCTACATGTACCTAAAATTTTTTACTCCATCCGTACACCAAAGATATGCAACAATATTTTGATAGTTCACACTGACACAAATTATTGCATTTTTTTTGTAGATGGCAACCAACCACAACCATACCCTTAACCTGTGTTACATCCTGGAAAACAACAAGTTATTCGGGACCAACTTTCTTGACTTGGAGATGAACCTCTTGATCATTCTTGATTATGAGAGGAATCTCTACATTCTCAAAACGGGTCCTCCCAAGACCCCTGATGACAATGCTCGTGCGTCCGAACTCACTTCCTTCAAGAAGTATGAGGATGACGCACGAGATGTGAAGTGTATCATTATGGCCAGTATGACTGCGGAGCTCCAAAGGCTCCATGCGGACATGGAAGCGCGTCCTATAATACAACGCTTGAGAGACTTATGCCAGGGCCTAAATCAAACACGTACATCATCCCTCCAATTTAAATTACATATTTTGGTTTATAATGTTTGTCTAAAATTATTTTTAAATCATTATATACGAAAAATGGTGTAAAATTAGAAACCAAAAAATACATATTGAAAACTACATCAAAAAATAAACAAAACTAGTGATGACAATATGACATACTCCCTCCGTCCCACAAAAAAGTTCCCATTTTGAATAGTATTTAGTCAAATATTTACACGCTTTGACTACAAATTGTGAGAAAAGTATATTAAATTATGAAATAAATTTTATATAATTGAATTCATCTTAGGATCTAGCTTTGATATCTCAAATTTTTTTAGCATTTCTTTATTTAGATTATATTTAATTTAAGGTCAAAGTGTGCTACAATTTGACCAATTTATGGTCAAAATGGGAACTTTTTTGTGGGACGGAGGTAATAACTATATTATCATATGAAATGATTAATGAAAATAAGAAAAAAATGAATAAAATTTTATTAAGTAAATAATAAGCATGCAATTTAATTAGAGATGGAGGGTATAACATTGAACAAAAAATAGCACATGTTCCCAATAAATTACACCACAGAAATTTTCGTAGCATGAATGCCAGCGTCAGTGTAAAGAGATTTTTCTTGCAATAAATAGCCCAAACGTCAAGGAACTCCTTGAGAATTGAGATTTCTCCTTATCCTCCCAGATCACCATAATCCTTGGGCATCATTTTCCAATTTAAAAGCTTCTCAATACGGGCAAATCAAAAGCGCCAACATGTGCAAATGCACTTTTGGAAATCGAATACTCAAACAGATCTAAATGCAATTTAAGAAATCTTCAACACTCTTGTTCCAACCTACGTTAATTTTTTATATTACAGGCGCTTGCCCCTTTTGGAACTCATGATTCAATTTTATAGGAGTAGCAAGCATACCTATGTGAAGAATACCGTAGCATCTTCTCCAAAACTATAAGGCCCCGTTTGGTACATGGAATTCAAACCATGGAATTGGAATCGGGGCTTTTAATTCAAATTCTGGTGTTTGGTAGCACAAAAGTTATGTGGATTTGGAATTGATAGTGCAAAAAATGTATTGGAATTGGCAAAATTCAATTCTATGGAATTGAATCCCATGGAATTTCAAATCCAATTCTGTCAATTCCGTATACCAAACGGACCCTAAGGGTCCGTTTGGTATACGGAATTGATGGAATTGGAATTGAAATTCCATGAGATTCATTTCCATAGAATTGAATTCACCAATTCTCATTCATTTTTTTGTACTATCAATTCCAAATCCACATAATTTCTGTGCTACCAAACACTAGAATTAGAATTGAAGTCTTCAATTCCAATTCCATTGTTTGAATGTCGTGTACCAAACAGAGCCTAAAAGTACATTAATATAAAAAAAACATGTATTAAATTATTATCATACCACAAGATTGAACCAAGTCAATTTTTGCTTCAAAACATTTGGTATTGTTGGAAGTTGAAATCGTCCAAATCAGTAACCGAGAGAAGGAAAACACGGTGGAAACAATACATTTTTCATTTGTAAATTATTCAAAAATGACAAACCTAATTAAAAGGCAAATACTGTGTGTGTACGAGAGAGAGAGAGAGAGAGAGAGAGAGACTTTAAGAATGAGACAATCAAGCAGCCAATCCCCCAGATAACAAAGCTTTAGGGAAAACCTTAGTTCGAGTTACAAAAAGGTTTCTAGCTTAGCAGGGATACACCTGGTGCTTTTAGGGAGGGTAGAGGCATAGGAAGTCCTTTATAGAAAAGCTTAGTTAGGGAAAATGAAATGAAGTAGAGAACATAAAGATTAATTTGATGTAATTATCTTGGAAAGAACAGAAAATGAAGAGGATACCTGGTGATGGAATCTCCGTCAACATCTCGATCAATGCAGGAAGATTGAGATCTCTTCCGTTGGAAAAGGGCACGATAAGCACGTGAGAGGGAAAAGAGGGGTTTATAATTAATACTAGTATATGGTGTAAGATCTGATCTAGCCTAAGCATTTCCCAAAAAAAAACATTGAAGTATAGGAGTAGTTCTCTTTACATCATTTACTACGTTTCAAAGCTGCAAAAACTATGTGCCCATTTCAATGCTTCTTTCTATTTCAATGCAAGACACTAATAATATGATGATGATGATAACAATAATAATATACTTACTTTACCAATGACCAGTCACTCCTGCCATGTGTTTTTTCATGGCTCGGTCTCTTCTGTAGTGGTTTTTTCCCCGTCCACTGCCCTGCCCTCCTCTGCCTCTAGAGTCCCCTCCTTGTCCTCCTCGAAGAGCCCCTTCTTTCATTCTATTATCACCATTTTCCTCCACATTAGTGACTATTGGCTTTTGAGAAGCACCACTTGAAGAAATATATCCTCGTCCGAACCCACGCCCTGACTGCTTCCCTTGACCCTCTCCTCTAACTTGCTCAGGAACAAACTCCACAGTCATCATCCTTCTGACAGCACCCATTGGAAGATTACCACCCCGTCCAAGTCCGTGTATAACCTCTTTCTGTGCTTGATTAACCAAAGAAGCTTCATCAGAATTACTCACGGCAATAGAACCCTCAACTTTATAACTGTAGTTTTTGCCGTCTTTAACATAGAATTGTGGCTTTTTACTCAAATTCAACTTGTAGTTCAATGCATTATTATCAACTCCTGTAGACTTCCCTCCCCTATCCAAGTTCAACTTGTTGTCCAATGTCTCTGTTTCCTCCAAAGCAGACCCAGAAATACTCACACCTAAATCATCAAAAGAGTCATCATACTCGTCTTCATACTCCTCAAACTGTGACGCAAGTGCAACTGTCCTTGCCACATCAGCTTGACTTCTAGAATTGAGGATCAAAGGGTCAGGAAGGTCAGTTCCAGTCTTCCTCACATACCTCCCAACAACAGATGATGTGGAGGAAGAATTTGATGAATTCCCAGTTTGAATACTTTTTCTGGGGGGGACTTGTTCAGATGATTCCAACAGTTTCCCTTTACCCTTGTCATTTGTGGATGTCAATGAAATAGAAAGAGAAGACTTGGGCTTTGGTGTTTCCTCCAATGAAATGTCTAAAGACTGCAAATCTTTGTGAAGGGTGCCCTCTAAAATCCTCTGTATAACCTCTTCAGGATCGTGATTATAAACTTCAAGACAGGCAGCCAGGAAACCCTTTCCATATTCTGGGAACAGATCTCTAATTTGACTGATTTGTGATTCAATTATTGCAGTGTCTTCATCGACCTGCGGTGTGCCATTCTTCCCCATAGATGGAATGTCTGGTGCATTAATATTGTCTGGCAATGAGTTAGAAAGTATCCCGGCGACAAACTGATATTGATCATCATCGATAGAGAACCACCCTGCATATAAAAAGTTTGTTATCATCAGCATTCAGCAAGAGCCATATGTGTGATTAGCCAGGACAATTCCAAAAAAATATGTTGGTGACAAAGGGAAGTGTGGGGGGGGGGCTTGGTTCAGTTTTAATGGAACCTCACCAAACCAAACTGAATTAACCTGAACACAAGAATGAATCCTATGCAATTTGGTTTTAGTTTGGTAACGTTTTTCACAAACCATACTAAACCAACTCTGCCAACTCAACCGACCTCTATTCTTTTCTACACCAAATCTTCCCAGTTGCTACTTGTCAGTTGTCACTACTTGTCAGGGGCATAACTTTTTCCCTAATTTATTTCTTTTATTTTATTTTAATTTATTTTCTATTTCAACTTCCCAGTTTAACTTTTCAATATAATTTAAATTTTATTTAACTTTCAAAGTATTTATTTATTTAATTTTTCCATGTTATTATTAAAAAGATTGTGTGTATAGTGATATATGTAACATGTTGTGTCGGAGATACAAGTGGTTTTAATCCAAATTTTAAACAACTTCCTACAGATGATCCTCAATTACATTCATCTATGTAATGCATTTCGCATTTTTTCCCTATCATGCACTATTCGACATCATGGTTGTGAACTTGTTGAGTTGTTGGGTTTAAGTTTCTTGGAGTTTAATTGATGTTTTTGTATCTTATTTGTTATGTTTTGTTTTATTTCTTAAAGTTTTACTTATGTTTTTGTATGTTAACCCAAAACATCTTGAACTTACGCCTTACACACTAACAACAAAATGCCTCAAACCTGCCCTACGTCATTTCAAACATTGAACCAAACTAAAAAGAAGCACATTTAAAGCCCAAATGAAAATCTAACAAATTGAAAGCAAAACAAAACCAAAAATGAAACAACAAACCAAAAAAAGTTAGGTTTTAATTTAGAAATCATATCCCCACTCCACTCAGAACCAAATTGAACCCAACTCAGGAAAAGAACACAAACCCATTTGATCAGCCCAAAGGGTAGCCTAGTGCTTAGGGGTGAATATGCTGGCCTAGGTACAGGTTTTAAAAATACAGCATGTATTTGCAGAATGATGAAGAAATGTATGCAATAAATGAGGCAAACGATAAAAACCAGTTATGAATAATAATTACATAATACAGTACCTGCATTTCTTAACAGTTGAATCTTAGACATTATTTTGTGATTTTCTTCAATTCTTTGAAGAAATGTTCCTTTACTATGTCTCTCTAGAGACTGCAAATATACTGCATTGATATCCCTGATTATCTGTAAAAGAATGTCTGTCCGTATGATAGGATCTTCCACATTTGAAGGAAACATTTTAATGCCTACATGAATGGGGTAGCTTCCATTGAAAGCTTCATCACTCAGATAGCACAAGTATAGTAGTTTCCAGCCAAAACTTACTATCCTTGTTGACAACATTTTCAAACTGAGATAAACGTTGCAATGCATACTACTGGATACATCCGAGGAGCCATTATCTTTAGATGCAAATATTATTCGGAAACCTTGCTGTAGGGATGGTAGCAGGGAATCATGTAGTCTTGCAAGGGTAGTGAGCATCTCCTCATTCCCATGACTGCATATAAATGTATGTCAGAACATAAAAGCACAAGAATCAGATTAAATCAGTAGTAAATACATTCTTTTCTAATAGACTAAAAAGGAGACATCTTACATGGAAAACAATACAGAAGGGAGAAAACTAGATAAGTACCTTATTTCAACAGGGCTAGAGAAATAAACAGCAGACTGGTTGTAAGCATTAACAAATGCATCCATGGATACAATAGCATCATTTATGAAGTCCATTACCTGCAGGCAAGGAAGTTTAGTGTGCCATTTTGATTTACTCCACTATTTACCCGAAGCTAAAACACTGCAAAATGACTCTTTTAGCACCATTGCCAATGGATGCTAACAGGAAATAAGTTCAAGTTACCTCTAAATAGTCCGTAAGAAGCTGTGTGGGCCCAAGATCCTGACAGCCCACAGATGAAAATAAAACCTGCAGATGACCCAAAAAGAGAGGTCAATACAGTTCTGCCATCTTGTAGATAAGATCAGATAAGATCAGATAGAGATTTAGGGATTAAAAACAATTTTGCTAGAAGTTCTAGAGTTTGTTTTATTTTATACTCCCTCTATCCTTCATAGATCTTCCGATTAAGCGTTACGAGGCTTGACCGACTTTATTTTCAATTTAATTTATTTAATTGTAGGTGCAAAATTTAAAAACAAAATTTATATAGTAAAATGCTTTGGCTTTTGAGCCATAGATTCACTGTTTTTGGCTTAAGAGTATGATGGAATAAAGCAAAATGGCCCTTTAAACTATATGTGCTTCGTTTGATAGTGATAGTGAAGTGGCAGATAGTTAATGCAATTTTTGACGCTCATCATGGGTCATCTAGAAACAGCCACTATATGTCTTAAACATAGTGGGGTAATGTTGTTGTAAGTATAAAATTTAAAAATAAAATTTATACAATTAAAAATTATATGAAAAAATCTACGAAACAAGAGGTGACATGACTACTATTTTAAGAAATGAGTACAAAAAATAAGCAAACAAAATGAGTTAAGTTTGACCCTTTGAATGAATAGTGAATGGGAAGATCTATGGGAGGTCAAAGGGAGTATGAAATACTATATATTATGTAGGTTGAAACCTGTATCCAGGAAAAACAGCTTTAACCATATAAAACAATTTAATTTTGGACATGGTTAGTGTTGTGGATGTGGAATCAGCCTATACATATTTTGAATGAAATATCTAACCCTAATTTCACATTTTAAAGCTTGTTCTCTTCATCTGATTGGATATTAAGGTCTGATCTAGTTATATATAAAGTTATAATTGATCTGATCTAGTCTCATCAGATTGTAGTTATATCTGAAGTTGTTTCTGATCTGATCTAGTCTGATTTGGTCTAATCAGATTCCAATAAAAATAAATAATAAGTAATACGAATAAGTTGAAGAGAACAAGCTTTTAGAGGGGTTGTCTATAGAAATTGGAAATTGAGCACAAGGCTAACATTCACTAAAATATTTGTATGTAAATTCATGCATTAGAACTAACAGTCTTCCTGGTACTATACACCTACACACAAAGCAGAGGACAGCAATTGATGGCCAGAAAAATACAGCGTGCCAGCAAAAACCCCAACTGATCATGAATGGTGAATAGTGTTTGGAATTTATACCTCCAAAGATGACCTACATCGTTGATACATAGTCTGAACAATGCTCAAGAAATGGGAAATGACTGCAGTAAGATCCTCATGGATCCATGGTTGTGCATTTATTGCATTCATGATCTGGAAAATATTAATTGAACATTTCAATGGTGAAGCAAAGAGCACTTTCATGAAACGATTGAACTATAACCAATGAGTATATATTCGTTAATAACTCAAAACATCAAGCAATGAAAAATCCAAGACCCTACTCTTGGATCCCACAAGAGTAGGGTGTGTGTACGCAGACTTAGCCCCTACTCGAAAATAGATGTACGCAGACGTAGCCCCTACTCGAAAATAGAGAGGCAGTGAAAAACAAAGTTGATTGACAGATTTAAAGATAGAACCTCGTGTTTTGTATCTAGCTACAACTCAAGTTATGTTTACAAGAATACCTTCAGATTGTCTAAAACAAGATGAATAATGTTTTGACCAATACTCAAGTTATGTTCATAGTTAACACGGTGTGGCCTTGGCATCCCAACACCATGCTGCTCTTGCCATGGTAGATCGACTTGCCTAGTTCCACATTCCTCGCATAGGCATCCAATTTCGGGCAACTTTGCATCCTAGCGTAGCACCAGTGGACTAGACGTGTTGCATTAAAAAAAGACCATCTCTTTTATAATAAGTCGCAATCCAGCCGTGTACCCTAAAATTAAAAACCCTACCTCAGCCAGTCCACCTCTCATCACACTCTTCTCGTTTCGCCACCAATTGAATAGGTCTCCACTCTTACTGGGCTTGTCAATTGCCCATAGCCACCGTACGTACGCTTCTCTCTTTGGTCATCGATTGCATATATGTAGTATATATCCTCAGTCCTCATTGCGTTATATATTACTCCGTAAATGCTTTTTGCTCAGTAAATAGCTTTCATGCTTTATAATTACAGTATTTTATTTCTATTGTAAAGTTCATTTTCTAATTCCCCGTCATAGTACACTGAATGTAAAAAATGTATTCATTTTTCCCCTTAGTGCTTAATTATTTTTGGAAAATGTTTTATGATTTATTTATTTCCAAATTCCAATTCAGGTTGGTATTTTTTATTTAAATTTATCTATGTAGGCTTACTTTTCAATCCTTTTTTCTTCTAGTCAAATTTTTTCCATATTTCATTTAAACTTTGCAATTTAAAAGTGCATATTTCAATTGATTTTTTTCTTAGTTTGTTGTAATGTTGTTACATACGTTCTTTGATATGGATGTTAAACTTTGTTTAACTTAAAATTTAAGATTTATCAACTACAGCATACAATATGATTAATTGATATTATTGTTACTAATGTATCACATTTCTCATGTACTACTTGTTACCTAATGCCTAGGCACCTAGGTGTCATGGTGGTACACTGACAACTCCAGATGTTACCTTTGACTTATGAGCCTAATTAGGAAACTTTTGCAAGCATAAAATGAGGAACCAATTTGAGATAATTTTGCAATCTAACAATGTTGACCTTGTTCATGGACATTTACAATGCTAAGCTCTATAATACAGCTTGATCAGAGCCCTTTGCATAGCATGTGAAGCAAAAAAGTTCAGTAGTAAACCACAATAGCTTTATAAAATCAATTTTCTATAGTGACCTGTAACTTGCATCACCGTGCCATATCAGGTTTCTATCAGCCAAATTTGTTTAAAATTCCAGGTTACCTCCCAATATAATATACCATATAGAAGAAAATTCATTCTGATCCATCTGAATTTGACAAAAAGTTTTCAGTGCTAGAATATAATGTTGAGTAACTGGTATTGCCCGGTTATCACATCCATAAAAGGAACACATCTACGTAATCTAGCTTAAGCATCTGTACCTTCAAACAGTGACACATCTGTATGCTCAAACAATTGGAAGCTTGTGTTTCAAACTGAAAAGCAAAGAACCTCACCAAAAGAGCAAAAGGGTAGAGAGAGAGATTTCAAACTTACCAAAATTCTTGACAGATCTTCATTATCATGACCATATATAGCAGAAATTTCTAACAACTTTGACAAATTAAGTAATTTCTTCTGCTGCAAAAGAGCTATACGTGTAAAAAGTTATTATAGTGCACCACGACATTTAAAGCTTGTGAATTCTTAATTTCTTATACATATTCACCTTAAGGTTATATACATTAACTTCCCTACCGTATTTCTGTAGTTTCCCTAACTGAAGTTCATGAATACGATATATGTTTCCATTCTCCAAGAATGCCAGAGAAACTATGGTTCAGAATTAGAATTTCGATAAGATGTGCATTTCAATTTCAAAACTTCAAGGAACACACAGCTACAATGCCATCCCTAGTCACCATATACAACAGAAAAGATAGAATACCTGAATATTCTTCCCCACTGAAACAGTCAGCAGCCTTGGATCCAAGATCGGGATTAGAACTACAATTCAAAGGGAAGATATTCAAATAAAGATAAGATGGATAGTGTACGCCACTAAACCACTCGTGCTTCTTAAAGAAAGGAGTGAAGATGAGATTGTAATTACATGCGATATAAGACCATGAAGACACGTCGGGATAGCTCAAATTCACCAACAATAACTCCAGCAACTGTGCCCTTTGGTCCACGGTATGGGAAATCATACCATCTACTCCTAAACTTAAGAAAGCTTTCAAGGAAAGAGTGAAGAGATGTCTTGCTGGCCACTGAGAAGAATTCTTAGTCAGAGTAAGTTTAAAATAATACTCCCTCCGTCCCATAAAGTTTTACCCATTTTGACTAAAGTTGAAATTAAGGGGGGGATAATTTTGTATTGACTTTCCAAAAATACCCTTGATGTGATGGGTAAAAGTAGGATGTGATGTGTAGATTATTAGGAAAAAGGTATGATGTGATAGTTAGGGTTTGAAAAAGTAAGGGGTAAAAGTGGTTTTTTAATAGAAATGGGTAAGGAATTGTGGGACACAATTTTTTTGAAACGTGTAAATCTTTTTGGGACGGAGGGAGTATTTAAGAGGTAGCACCATAGCAAACTGAACAAGTTTTTAGAATAAATCCAAAGCGAATGTTAAGCATTCCTACAGAAAGATAAGTACAAATGCATAACTGTAAACAAACTAGATTGAAATGTTAAGCTTTAAAGTTCTGGTAAAACCGACAAGAAGTACACATTGTATTTTACGAGAGATTTGCATAGTGTTTTCAAGCTCAAAGCCTACACGTATAAAACAAAGTACAACAACAACATTGGCCCAGTGCCTCAAAGGACCTCATGATGAGCATCGAAAGTTGCATTGACTAACTGTGTTACTCCTTCTGTCCCAGTGTATTTGTCCAGTTTGACTTTTTTCAAGTCAAAAAGGATGAACTTTGAGCTTCAATTAAACAAAAATAGTAATATATATGTCCAAAAAATACTTTTATTAGATATATCTAGTTGGGAATTTTCAAAATTATATTTTATTGTACTAATACGTAATACAAATTGAGAGTAATTGAAGCTCAGAGTTTGTCTAGTTTGACTCGAAAAAGGCAAATTGGACAAATACACTGAGAAGGAGGTAGTACTTCACTATTGAAAGAAAAAGAAGCACTGACAGTTTAAAACGACATTTTGGTTTATTCCATCATACCTCAAAGCCAAAAATAGTGAACCTTTGGCTCAATCGGAGATGATGCCATGATGCAATTAAAAATCAATATAAAGGACATAGTATGAAATGAATTATGTATTCCAACGTCTTTGTTGTTCTAAAAAAGCAGTACTAACGTAACCTTATTTCTTTGGTCAGTATAGAACACTCAAATAATGAGACATGCATTGTTCACATTAAAGCCCCTCGAAATACATGAACTCCATTAAAATAACATTCAACAGTTTAACTTCTCCCCGAGCTTGAGTGGTAGTAAGCCCCCTCCACAGGATTAATGGAGAAGCTCACCAGGTTTGAATCCCAACGGAGGCGGAGGAGTTGGCTCTTTGTGCGTTATTAGGTTGAGAAAAATATAACAGATACTACATTGTAATATAGTCAATAGTACTAAAAAAAACTTTCAACTGTTATCAAAGTCCTAATTGGATTTCTCCC